ACATGAATCAAATATGTATCTTTATTCATTTACAATAAACTCATAAAGTACATCATTCTGATTGAAGCTAAGGGCATACAAAACTGTCTAACAAATTACTCATTGTTTTTTGGTGGATAAAATGATTAGATAATAAAACATTCAAGGATGTAGTAATCAGCCCAACTTCAGTTTCAGCCATGAAGGAGCTGACAACCTCCTTAAAAGCTTTTCACTAAATGACAAAGCAATGTCATTCAGTTCAGCCACTTCAGCTGTTATCAGATGGCCCCTTATTTATTGAATTGCGTATGGAAACTAGAGTTATTGTCCTATCTATGCCTTTTAATTGGACTATTATCAGGAACCAAGCTACCTTATGTTATAATTCTGGAAATCTCCCCCAACTTTTTAAAACTTCTTCTGGATATGCTATGATGATTTATCCTTACTTGAAATTAATCTGGCTCCTCCTTCATGTGTCACCTTTATACAATTTGTTGACTTTTCATGGGTCTAAACTTTTGTATGTTTGCACCAATGCTGGAGACTATTGAAGTCGCAGGCTTGTTATGCACCATCCTTATCTCACAGGACATCATCAGTTTGGGTTTCTGTAGTTGCACTTCTGGAGTCCATGTTGTTTACTTTTTTCATATCTTTAAAATGTTTATAAATGGGTTGAGATTCTGTGGTTCTTAGTTATGACTGATGCTTTTAGATGTTTGAGGGTTTGGTAGTTATCAATTTTCTTACGGTTAAGTTTTAGAATTTTGATATATTTAACTAATCACAGAAAAAAGGTATATTTCACTAATGAAAGGAGCTCTAGATTTTTGCCCATCATGTATGTAGGATTAACCGAATAACTGGTTTGTTGATAGACGTGCCCTGTCCCTGGAGAATATTGGATGCCATTCTTGTAGGCTTAGTATCCTTAAATTGATGAAAGCACACAATTCTTGGATGGGATTAAACAATAGATCCTATCCAAGCTTGATTCTGTTCCAGTACATTTCTTGTAGATTTTTCTTGACATGGATTTGTAAGGTTTTTTTTTTTTCTCTGTATTTGGTGATATGCACCACTAAACATGGATTTGTTAGTTAAAGGCAGTGCATATAGCTTTGGTTTTACTTTGTCAATTCTTTGCTGTCCTTAATTGACGAAAGAACACCTTTCTTAGATGAGATTAAACCAACAAATCCTATCCACCTTGATGCTATTCCAGTACATTTCTTATATAAAATAGCTATTCCAGTATATTTCTTGTTGATTTTGCTTAACATGGATTTGTTATAGTTTTGGTTTTACTTTGCCAATTCTTTACTGCCCACTCCAACTTCCACATTGGATACTAAGTTAGAGAACCTATAACCAGTCAATTAATAGCCAACTCCTTTGACACCAAGGAAGATTAAATATTATAGTCCTTTGACACTATCCAGTCCTATTCTGAAGTAATGACCATTATGAGCCTGAAGCTTCCTTTTTAACTTCTGTAATGACCATTATCAAGCCACTTTTATGACTGGGTAGTAATGCTTGGGAATCTGAACTTGCTGGGTTACAGGTCTCGAAAGTTACGTTATCAGGACTCCCTATTCTAACTGCTACCAGTGATTCACTGGGGCTGAGGTAGCGGTTGTTACAAATGTGTATATTGAATACTATATTGTCATTCCTAATTAGATGCCTAATAGAGAAACTAACCAAATATTTGGATGCAAGCAAAAAGTGGTCAGCACTGTCAATTTGGCTAACAATTAACAAATGCCATAAATTTGGTATGCTGTATGTGAAATTGTAAATTTGTAATATAATTAAATGATGATAGTTTGGGCTTTGTATTTTCTTTTTTTGGTTCTATTCTAAATTGCTTGTGATGTATTCTGTTGGTGAAATCTCTTTATCTTTGAAAGTAATTTTTTATATTTTAAAAAATAGTTTACCATAAGATATAGGGAAGGGGATGGACACTGACCTCCAGAATGGCCTCATTCTCAGTGGATAGTAAGCATTTAGAATGAATGATCTTGATCTTGATGATCTTAAATTCTTAACTTCGTTAGTGATGCCTTATAAAGCCAACACCAGCAGGGTTCTTAGGATTCAAATTTGAGGAATCTTGCAACCAGGATTCATCTGTATCAGTGAATTCCCCAGGTCATTACCAAATAATGGTCCCAGCTATATAGGATATTGGGACTTAGAGGGGTATATGATGAATCCAAATTGCATTTACAACTTTTACATGCTTTAGAATATAAAAGTACAATTCCTTGGAGTCTTAATTCTGTCTTGAAGGTGCACAATCCAATGATCTTGTGTAGGCTTATGTTCTATTTTGATCATCACCATAACCATCACCACCACCACCACCACCCAAAGGGAGTCAATAGCATGAGTCTTATTTCTCCATTCTATGTTCTTCTAGAATAATCAACTTGTGCTGGATCAGTTATTTTCTGCATTCATCAATCGTCTGTTTCATATAATCCTACTATCTTTGTCCATTCTTGTATCTTGTTGCCTATCAGTGCTATTCTAGATTCTGTTAAATGCCCTTACTTCTAATTTATTATTTGTACTTTATACTCTTGTCATTTATCTGTTTTGACATCCTTATTGTGATTACATTCCTTATGGGATATGTTCTTTGATTGCTAACATTTTGGTATAAAACAATTTTATCTAAATAGACAATATATGGGAGCATGCACCGTAGAATCTAAATAGACAATTTTATCTATCTATCTATCTATATATGTTTAGGTCATTGCTTGTTTTTCTATGATTCTCAGGTTCATGCGCATAGATGCTTTATCCCTTCTGCTTTCTATGGCTAATGTTGGTGCATACTCTGATGTCCTTGTGGTTGATATGGTGGGTGGAATTCTTACTGGTGCTGTTGCAGAACGTTTAGGAGGTATCTCTTTTTTTATTTTGTTCTCTTTTTCTCTGAAAGTTTCTTTCAGGATCATAGTTGTCAAGGCATCCGCCTAGGCGACTAGGCACCCTTGGCTGGGTGCCTCACCCAAATGCCTTGACTTGTAGCAACTAGGCACCAGCCTAAGTGACTAAGCACTTGCCTTGGCGTTAAAAATGACATGGCGGGTGTCTTATATAATATCATCTGTATTGCTGTGTTTTATTAATATATGTGTTAATGCATTTTATTATATGCTATATATATCATTTATACTTTGTTTTAATGTTTTACTATTGAAATTTAAAAGATTAAAGGGTTTTGAGGAGAGAAAAAGAAAGAAAGAACGAAAAAAAGAAAGAGGAAAGAAAGAATAAAAGCATAAAAAGGTACCTTTTTTTTCTATTCTCTCTCTCTAATTAAATAAAACAAAAATTCCATCCTTGTTTTTTTCTATTTTACTTTCCATCTTGAATATTTATCATATAAAGTTAATAACCTTCTTTAGCTGCTAATTGATATGAAATTACTCTATTAAATACTTATTACAGTAGTGTTTTATTTGAAAATAATGAAATTAATATATGTAAAAGATTTTTTCTTTTAATTAGATGTGATGATTTGCCACATTTTGAGGAAATTTAATGTTCTTATCAAAGAGAATTGCTATTTTTTCAATTAACATACATGCTCAATGGTATATAAAACAAGGGAACTGGCCAAAAGTTAAGTTTTTTATATTATAAAATTCTTATCGCATAGGCTACTAGGCACCCCAATGTCGCCCAGAATCACCTAGGCGCTTTGAAAAATATGCTCAGGATAAGATGCTTAATGGGGATACCATCATTTTGTAAGCCATATTACCTGTAATGTTTCTATAATTTATTGTTTAGAAAATGTGGACAACACATTTTTCTGTTGTTTTGGAGCCAAATTTTATAAACAAGGTATAACACAATTTTATCTGATCAGCATTCTTCTTTCAGTTCATTTATCTTTTAACATCATCTTCATCATCATCATCATCACCATCATCATTTACGCCTTATCTATGGGGTTGGCTAGATGAATCCTGTTTTGTCATTCCGTTCTGTTTAATGTCATATTCATTGTTAAATTATGAGTGCTTAAATCATTTCTTGCTACTTTGACCAATGTCCTTTTTGATCTTCCCCTAGCCCTTTAGCCCTTTCAACTTGTAACTAATTGCTTTTTCTAACAGGTTATGCTGGTGGTCTTCTATGCATGTGACTGAAACATCTAATTATACTTTCTCTCATTTTATCACCTATTGGAACTACTCCTAGGTTCCTTCCAATGAATTTTCTGACCCTATTCTTTCTAGTTTTTCCACTCATAGATCTCAGCATATACATTTCTGCCACTCATTTTTTTGACATGTTGTTCTTTGATAGCCCACCATTTTGCTCCATACAGCATTATTGACCTTACAACTGTTTTATAGATTTTTTCCTTTTAATTTAAGTGGTATTCGCCTCTCCCATAAGACTCTAGATTCACCTCTCCATTTTGCCCATCCTACTCTTTTTTTTTTTTGTTGATATAAACCAGAGATCAATTGCCCATCCTACTCAAATTCTATGGGCAGCACCCTCAATTTCTCCCTTGCTATGAATTATTGAATCAAAGTACAACAGAAGATCACATTGAGTTATCTCTTGGTCTCCAATCCTAAGTGTACCCTGATTTGCAACTCCTATTAATATTAAATGTAGATTGCATATATTCTGCTTTATTCATACTTATTTTAAAACCTCTTGTTTCTAAAGTGTTCGTGCATAAACATAATATTACATTTAATCCTTAATTAGTTTCATCAGTTAAAGCAATATCATCAGCAAACAACAAGCACCATGGGACCTCCTTTTGGATATGTTTAGTCAATTCATCTATGATAATTGCAAATAAATAAGGGCTAAGTGTTGAACCTTGGTGAAGATCCATTGTAATTGTAAAATCTGATGTCTCTTCTGTAGGTGTTCTAATTGGTTGTTAGTTTCGTACATATCCTTAATTAGGTCCACATATCTAGTTGGCACTCTTTTATTTTCCAAGGTCCACCATATTGTCTCTAGTGACTCTATCATATGCTTTCTCTAGACTAATGAATGCCATATGAAGATTTTTTTTTCTCTTAACTCTTCTATCAATTGTCTCAAAAGAAAAAATATTATTTCTTATAGAGTATATATTAAGAATTTTATTTTTTTGTGCAGCCTTTGATGTTTTTTTTTTCCCAAGACTTGCAAGTAACTTCATTATGAACTACAGGTTATAACTGAGGTGTTATATGCCAAGTTGATTGACTTTGGCACGTTGGCTTGATACGGCCAACAACAGGCTTAAGCCCATATAATAAGGCTCTAAAGTATACACATTGAGAATTTCAGGTCTCTGTGCAGCCTTTGGTGTTTGTTTGGAAGCTAAAAAGAATTTTTTGTTTTCTATTTTTCATGAAAATTTGTTTAAGGTTGAATTGCAGGTTATCATTGAGTTGCATTTCCTGTCAAGTTTATTAACCTTGATAAGTGGGCTTTACATAGTCAACATGAAGTGTTTGGATGCTATATATGAACAGCTACTAGGATACACCACCATTATATAAAATATTGCTAGGAGTGTGATCGCATGGAAACTATAAACATGAAAAAGAGAGCTTGTCATTGAAATATGAAAGGAGAATTATACATTTATACCTATTCTAAGGCCATATATGGTTTCTGATTTAAGAGACACTAATCCCAAAAATAGTCTCCATGAAAAAGGCTTAAGAGCTCTACCTTTTTTTTTTTTGAAAAAAGAGCTCTACCTTATGAAGAGAGTGAATTAGGAGCTATGTTTGCATTAAAATAATGTTGGGATGGACAATTCCATTTCAATCATCACTCTTTCGACCCCACTAAAATGTTTTATCAAATTTATTAGATGGAAAGTTTTCAGTATATTTTGTTTGTTTATCCTATTTAAAAGTTCGATGTAGGTATGACCAAGTTTTTGCATCAACAAGTTGGAAATATTCATAGGATTTCATATCTCATACTCAACTACAAATGCTGATCAATAAGCTTATAACAGACATTTTTGTCATTTGTTTATTATGGATATTTTGCTTGAACATCACTGCTAAACAATCTCTTAGATATTTCCTTTTTCTATAAAATTGTTACTAGTCCAGTCTATGTAGTTATTGACAGTATTTTTTGTTATAACAGGTACGGGTTATGTATGCAATACATATTTGGGAGACACACCATATTCTATGGATATAGTAAGAATATTCAACTTCAGCGATGAAATCAACAGAAGGTATGACTTCCTTTTTTTTTTTTGAGAAAAGTTTAACCAGATTTCATTAAAAAAAGGAGGAAGTACATGAGGTGGTGTACAAAGCAGGGGAGAACACTGAAGAGCTTACACAGGAGGAAGTCTATCACTATACATATTTTCTAAACAGGCACCCAATTTAGCTAAGCCATTTGCAATAGGATTAAACTCCCTTGGAATCCAAAACAGGTTTGCATTTAAGCTATCCAAGGAGTCCCTTGCTTCTGCCAAATAATGGCTTAACGTCCAAGGTCCCCCTTCCTTGTTCCTTAGCCATTTGATGACATTTGCTGAATCCCCTGCAATGGAGAGGTTCTGAATACCCATGCTTTTAGCTATTCTGATTCCAGTGAGAGCAGCCAACAGTTCAGCTTTGGTTGAGTCAGTGAATCCGATTGGGCCACTGAAAACCCAGCAAATATTACCTCTTTCATCCCTTAATATACCCTCAATTCCAGCTGAGTCTGGATTGCCTGCAGCACTTCTATCAAAGTGTAAAGTTGTCCCTCCTTCAATGAAGGATGCTGGGTGTCTTGAGGTAATCTGAGTAGAGTGGGGGATGAAAAGAATAGTTTGTAAATTTCTGTCAAGGTAATTGAGAGCCCTTGGAACTCCTCTGAACTAGCAGCCAAAAGTTACAGATATAGTTAATATCTAAAATTAACTTATCTAGAGTTCTGAACTTGTTTTTAAATAGTCACTTATTTCTTTCTTCCCAGACTCCCCACATTACTGCATGCAACACCATTTTCCAGTAGACTCTGCCTCTTTTGCTTAGACCGCGACCCTGCCACTGATGGATAAAATCTTGAATATGTTCTGGGTTAACCCAATGGTAACCTGTCAGGTTTAAGAAATGCAACCAGACCTTGTGAGTGAAATTACAATGGATAAGTAGGTGGTCAGCTGTTTCTCCATCTTGTATGCACAGACAGCAAGCGTGAGAAATATAGTCTTCCCAAACTTTTCTTCTGAAGGAGATCACAAGTATTTGTTCTCTGTAAACAAGCCTCCCATACAAAAAAGCAAACTCTAGAAGAGATCTGTAAACAAGCCTCCTTATTTTGCACTCCGGTCCTGTGGAGGAGGGTGATGTGGCAAGGGCAGAGTTTTTAGCTGCAGCATATGGGGTTGAGAAGGCTAAAGAGTTGGGTATTAACAGACTGATCATTGAGGGAGACTCAAAAACGGTGATAAAATGGTTGTAGAAAAGGGAAGGGGTGACATGGCCGTTGAGGAATGATTTCCGAAGATTTAAGTGGATGTCAATGAACATGTCAATCCAGGTGGGATGGGTCTGTTGGCAGATAGCTTAGCAAAGCAAGGGGTTCAAAGAACACATGTTTTGGGCACATTTGTAGTTCTGTCCAGGGTCAGCTTACTAAGCTGATTTCTTTCATAACTTCTTGTTGTATCCTAAAAGTTTCTTATTAATGAAAATTTTCGAAGTTATTGATAAAAAAAAAGAGATGTCTATGTTTGATATTTATTACCAATCGAGTAGTAAACCGAATAACTATATGTACTTACTGATAGTATAATGACATATGCAGTCTTCTTATTTGACAAAATATTTGGTCTTTATCCAGTTGGAGTTAAGGGCCATTGCTTGGTGTAATGGTAAAAGGTAAACTCTTGGGTTAACAAGCTTGAGAACACGGTTTTGAGGTTGAGAGCAACCACTTTGTGCAATAATAATAAAAGCCAAAAGTTAGGTCTTTATCCAGCTCACCTGTGCCAAGACCTCAGATAGCTAGGGACCAAAATTGGATAATGGCCTTGTTTAGTTATGCAGTTTGAGTCAAGGTTTAAAATGCCGATGTCGATGGAAATGTTGCTTACCAAAATATAGGACATATGTCGGAAATGTCGAGGGGAAATATTGTAGAAATTGGAGACATTGTGGAAATATTATGAAATATGTGGAAATATGCAATGATATTTTGTAAAATGATAAAAGAAGCATTAATACATGTTTCTAGA